CCACTCTAGGCTCTAACTTCTGTCCTAAAATACCTAAAATCGAAACACACCTTACACTGAACACTTGCTTTGCTTCTGACCCCTGCTCCTAATCCCCGGGAAAGATTCAGAGTCCCATTTAGCTGGCAAAGCCCATCAATGGTCCACGGAGCTGAGGTCCCATTGCTCTGCATGCCTCAGCCCGGACACAGCACAGATGACCAGCTTCCGTCAGGCTGACCAGAATCCACCATCCGACTAAGGCCAAGCAGGGGGATCCCCAAAGAAAATAGTGGCCCCAGGGGTGCCTGGGTGGCTCAGTCGGTTGGGCGTCCGACTTCAGCTCAGGTCATGATCTCACAGTTCGTGGGTTCGAGCCCCGCGTCGGGCTCTGTGCTGACAGCTTGGAGCCTGCTTTGGATTCTGTGTCTCCCTCTCTCTCTGCCCCTCCTCCTCCTCTCTCTCTATCTCCCTCTCTTTCAAAAATAAATACACATTAAAAAAAAATTTTTTTTAAAGAAAATAGTGACCCCAGCCCCAGCCCAGGGAGACTCTATGCCTAGGGAGACAAACCTGGGGACAGAGGGAAGCTGTGAGGACAGCATTCCTGAGACCTGGCTGCCCCTTGTTCTTCATTTCCCCAAGCAGTTTTTCTGTGGGAAACCTTCTTTAAAAGGCGGGGCAATGTTTTCTCAAAGATATTCCTGGCAAGACACCATTCCCACCTCACTTCCCCACTCCACCCCTCCCCCAGCTCCCTGGGGTGGAAATTCCTGATCTAGCCCACGATCCAGCCCCGGTGACATTCCAGATGAGAGGCAGGAAGTCAGCAAGCATCCACAGACCATGATTGGGCCCATGATTTTCTGGCTGTGTCATGAGGTGGCATAAATGCAGAATGGGCCACATGTCCTCACCTCCACTGGAAAACCATCATTGCCCAGGTTTTGCGTTAGCTTCCCTGGTGTCCCCACTTCCACCTTGCCAACCCCCATCCCAACCACACCAATTCCTCTCCCCTTTGCTGGGTCCTCTGCCCCTCACTGACCCCCCCTCACTGTTCCTGGACACCAGGGGCTCCTGCTCAAAGCTTTTCCTGCAGGATTTCCCTGGGCCTGGAAGTTTCCTGCCCCTACAAGCCCCCATGGTTCACTCTCTCATACTTAAGTCTTCTGCTCAAATCTCTCCTTCTTGGGGAAGTTTACCCTGTCTTGCCCCTACCCCTGCGACCCTGCCCTCACCTGGCCCTCTCACTCCCTCTTACCTGCTTCCTTTGATTCCCTGCTCTCAGGGAAATGCCCGTCTTACCCTACAGAAGTAAGAAGGGAAAACCAGGGTTTCTCTGGTTTATGGCTTCCTTCAATTATAGAGAATTGTAGAGCACCCCTGAGCCCACGAAGCCATGGATTCCATGGCCATCTGTAACACTGAGTGTGTTTAGAAGGTGAGAAGGAAAATGGGGTTCCATATGCCTCAACTCCTAAAAATTCCCAGAGAAAAATCTTTTTTGTAAATGCCAGAAATATGATTGGACTGCTCATGAAATCAGCTGACATGAATCATGATTCTGTTTGTTCTGAAACCATAAAAATCATAACTTTTCATCATGATAGAAATTAAAAAAAAAAAACTAACATGTGCAGCAAATAGTTCTAGAACAATTGGCTATCCATATGTAAAAAAAATTAAAAAGAAAACAAAAGAAAATCAACCTCATAATCTCATACCACATACAAAAATCAAATGGATCATAGGGGCACCTGGGTGGTTCAGTAGGTCAAGTGTCCGACTCTTGATATCAGCTCAGGTCACCATCTCACAGTTCATGAGATTGAGCCCTGCATTGGGCTCTGCCCTGACATCGTGGAGCTTGCTTGGTCTTGTCTTTCTTTCCGTCTCTCTCTGTCCTCCACTGCTGATGTTCTCACTCTCTCTCTCAAAATAAATAAATAAACTTAAAAAAAAAAATGGATCATAGACCAAATTGTAACAGGTAACACAATAAGCTTCTAGAAGAAATATGAGAGAGAATATTTTGAGACTGTGGTCAGCAGGATGACTTCCCAAAGATGTCCATTCTCCAATCCCCTAGAACCTGAGGATATGTTAAGTTCTATGGCAGAGGGACTTTGCAGATGTAATTAAAGTTACAGACTTTAAAGTATGGAGAGGGGCGCCTGGGTGGCGCAGTCGGTTAAGCGTCCGACTTCAGCCAGGTCACGATCTCACGGTCCGCGAGTTCGAGCCCCGCGTCGGGCTCTGGCCTGATGGCTCAGAGCCTGGAGCCTGTTTCCGATTCTGTGTCTCCCTCTCTCTCTGCCCCTCCCCCGTTCATGCTCTGTCTCTCTCTGTCCCAAAAATAAATAAACGTTGAAAAAAAAAAATTTTTTTTTAAAGTATGGAGAGTATCCAAGTGAGCCTAATCTAATCATGTGATCCCTTAAAAGCAGAGAACTTTCTCCAGCTACAGCAGAAGAGAAAATTAGAGATTCCAACTATAGAAGGATTCCCCATACTCTTACTGGCTCTGAGAGTTAGGCCCCCATGTGCAAGCATCAGAGAGAAGCCTTTGGGAGCTAAGGGCAGCCCCGGCTGACACTGACAAGGAAATGGAGATCCCAGTCCTGTGACCTCAAGGAAATGGGGCCTACCAACAACCTGAATGAACTTGGATTCTTCCAAGGAAGTGGATTCTTCTTGAGCCTCTCAGCAAGAGCTCAGCCAACCAACACCTAGATTTTGGCCTTTTGAAACCCAGAGCAGAGAAACTGGCCAAGGAAACCACACTTCTGACCTATAGAACTGTGAAATAACAAATTTGGGTTGTCTTAATGCCACTCAACTTGTAGTAATTTGCTACAGCAGTAATAGAAAAGTAATAGAGACTTTGGGTTAGACAAAGATTTCAGATAGGACATTAAAAAAAAAACATGACCTGTAAGAGAAAAAAAAAAATGTATGAATTGAACTTGATCAAAATGAAAACCTACTGTTCTTTGGAAGAGACTTTTAGGAAAATAACAACAACGAACAACCAAGCCAAGACCAAAAGAAAATTTTTACAAAACACGTATCTGCTGAAGGACTCGAATCCAGAATATACAAAAAAATCTTATAACTTGGTAATTAAAAAGACACAACGGCCAATTTTTCTTTCCAGTGGGGAGGGCAGAGGATTTGAGCAGATGCTTTGTCAAAGAAGAAACATAAATGGCAAATTAAGCACACAGAAAGATGCTCAACATCACTGGCCATCAGGGAAATGCAAATTAAAGCCCCAGTGAGATAGCATTATACACCCATCCACATGGCTAAAATTAAAAAGACTGACAATACCAAGAGGAGACAAGGATGCAGAACAACTAGGAATCACACGTATGGCTGTTAGGAATGCAAAATGGTACAGCCACGTTGGAAAACAGTCTCGATAGCTTTTGTAAAATTAAACCTATGATTATCATTCCTCCAGTAATCCCCCTGTAGGTATTGAAATGAAAACATAGGTCCACATCGGGGCGACTGGGTGGCTCAGTCGGTTAAGCATCCAACTTCGGCTCAGGTCATGATCTCATGGTCTGTGAGTTCGAGCCGCACGTCAGGCTCTGTGCTGATGGCTCAGAGCCTGGAGCCTGCTTCCGATTCTGTGTCTCCCTCTCTCTCTGCCCCTCCCCCATTCTCTCTCTCTCTCTCTCTCTCTCTCTCAAAAAATGAATAAATGTTAAAAAAATCGAAAACATAGGTCCACATAAAGACCTGTACATAGATGTTTGTAGCAACTTTATTTGTAAGGGCCAAAGACTAAATTGGGAAGTAACCCAAATGTCCATCAACAGGTGGACTGGTCAAGAAATTGTGGTTCATTCCTGCAATAAATGTACATAGTCTGCAATAAACACGACTCAGCAATAAAGAACCAAGTATTCACGCAACAACACGGATGATCTCAAGAGCATTATATTTGCTGAAGAAAGCCTGACTCATAAGGCTGGTGCATTAGTCTTCCAGAGTTGCCGTGATAAAATCTCAGAGACCGGGTGACTGAGAGCACGGAAATGCATTTATTTTCTCACAGTTCTAGAAGCCAGAAGTCCAAGATCAAAGAGTCAGCAAGGTTGGTGTCTGGGGAGAGCTCTCTTCCTGGCTTGCTCACAGCTACCTTCTGGCTGTGTCCCTACATGGCCTTTTCCTCTGTGTGTGTGTGTGTGTGTGTGTGTGTGTGTGTGGAGAGAGATTTCTACTGTTGCTTCTTATAAGGACAGCAAACACTGGATTCGGGTCCACTCAAATGACTTCATTTAACCTTAATCTTAACCTTATCTTGTGAGAGGCCCTATCTCCAAATATAGTCATATTCTAAGGTCCTTGGGATTAGGATTTCGATATATGAATTTGGGGAAAAAACACAATTCAGTCCATAATAGCTGGTAATGGTATAATTTCATTTATCTGATGCCAATTGTATGACCTTCTAGAGAAGGAAAAAGGAGAGGAACAAAACACAAATTGGTAGTTGCTCTGGGCTGGGGGCCAGGGTTAGAGGAGGGAATTGACTGCCAGGGGGCCAAAAGGAGCTTCCTGGGGTGAAGAAACTGTTCTCTGTCTTTTTTTTTTTTTTTAAGTTTATTTATTTTGACAGAGACAGAGAGCAAGGGGGAAGGGGCAGAGACCGAGGGAGACAGGATCTGAAGTTGGCCCTGCGCTGAGAGCAGAGAGCCCGATGCAGGGCTCCGACTCACAAACTGCCAAAGTCAGACGCTAAACCAACTGAGCCACCCAGGCGCCCCAAGAAACTGTTCTCTGTCTTGAGGGTATTGGTGTCACGTAGCTCTCTTCTTCTGTCAAGACTCACGGAACCTACATCCAAAAGGGGTGAATTTTACTGTATGTAAATTATGCCTCCATAAGCCTGACTTCAAAAAACTCACACAATCAAGCAGTCGGACCCCTCCCTCCCCCCAAAGTCAGACCCCACACTTTGGTCCCGCTTGGTCCACAGGGTCCCCAAGATTTGATCATTCTTGTTACTTGCGCTTTTGACAGTAACAGATGTGTTTTCTAGACTTTTTCCGCCAAGACGTCTGTAGTGGAGGACCCATTTACAGGTGCAGTTACCGGGAAGAAGGCTCTGTGACTTTATGATCCCTACAACTCCGGATAAGGATTTAGAATTAATCCAGACTGTATTTCATGGCCCGCGTAGGCGAGTCTTAAACACAAACAACAACAACAAAAACAAACAAAAAACCCAAAAAACAAGAAACAAAAACAAAAAACAAAAAACACCACCTTTATTTCATCTTAGATCTTTAGTTGTGCTATATTTTACCAGAAACCAGTGGCTGAATTCTCTAAAGTAAGGACGCGTCAGCTGCCATTCTCAGAAGTGCTGACAACAGAGACCACAAAACAAATAAACACTCATCCCAGACCTCTCTGGCAGCAGTTACTAACCTTCTTGGTGTGGAGACGAGCATTTCTCAGCAAGATTGGGAACAGCAAGCGCCTAAGGCGCTCCTGCCGCGGCTTGCTGTTCCGGGTCTCCCACACGGCTGAGTGCAATTCAGAAAACGCCCTAGGATTGAAGACTCCTCAATCCTAATGCTCTACCTGGATACCCAAGCAACTGCAAGAAGTCACAGCCCGCTGGATTATGGTTAGCTGGCCAATTGCCAAGAGTGGAGTAAATAAATGCAAGAAAGAGCTGATGAGTCAGACTGTTAATCATAATTAGCCTTTCAAAGACTTTTCCAGAGAATTCTTTCACTTTGGGTCATTTATGCTATCATATATCATTGAGTCTAGGACACCACAGATTGTAAGGAGGGGGAAAAAATTGCAAATTAAACTGTGTCACCCTGATTTCTTATTTCTTAGGGACTGCATTGTGTACTTATTCAAGAAGCTTTAAAAAAAAAAAAAAAAGAAGCTTTTAAACTTCAGACTTTTTTTTTTTAGCCCATATCACCCATGAGCCAATAAAAATATATATGCAAAGAAAATTGATCAGTTAGGGTGTTTCTCAAACCTATTCAGTCCAATTTTCTTGAATCGCATTTCAAATCAAAGTCGTCAAATTCCGTGTTTTGCCAGACTATTGTCTGCTAGGCCAAGGTTAGCAAACTCTGCAAAAGGCCAGAAGATAGCAAATAATTTGGGCCTTGGAGGCCATACACCAACTCAACACTGCTGTGACGCACAAATGGCCATCGGTGATACTTAAATGAATGAGCACGGATGTGGTCCAAAAAAATCTTTATGGACACAGGAATTTGAATTTCATATAATTTTCACATGTCATGAAATATTCTTCTTCTTTGGTTTTTTTTCAACTATTTAAAAATATAAAAACCATTCTTTTAAAAAATTTTTAAATGTTTTTATTTATTTTTGAGGGGCAGAGACAGAGCACAAGCGGGGGAGGGGCAGAGAGCGAGGGAGACACAGAATCCAAAGCAGGCTTCAGGCTCTGAGCTGTCCGCACAGAGCCTGACACAGGGCTCGAACTGGTGAACCACGAGATCATAACCTAAGCTGAAGTCAGATGCTTAACCGGCTGAGCTACCCAGGTGCCCCCAAAACCATTCTTATTTACTGGCTATCCAATAGTAGACAGTGGACTAGATTTGGTCTATGGGCCATAGTTTGCCAACCCCTGCTCCATAGTGAAGGGAGCATCGGGAGCACTGGTAATGCAGTCTATCTTTTTTTTTTTTTTCATTAATGCTTATTTATTTATTTTTGAGAGAGAGAGAGAGAGAGCACAAGCAGGAGAGAGGTGGAAAGAGTAGATTATACAGAATCTGAAGGAGGCTCCATGCTCCGAGCTTCAGCACAGAGCCCGAACACAGGACTCAAACCCACAAAGTATGAGATCATGACCTGATCCAAAGTCAGACGCTCAACTGACTGATCCACCAGGTGCCCCCAGTCTATCTTTTTAAATCATGAACTCTGGTCTCCAGGATTGTCCTTGAACAACCCATTTTGCAAATTTGGATGCTGGGGAAGGAACACTGGTCAGGATAGATGGGGTTATGATGCAGTAACTCCAAAATCTCAGTGGTTCAAAACAACAAAGGTTTATTTCTCACTCATGCAAGGTCCTTCGAAATGTCAGGGCTACTTTCTAGGGCAACTGTCCCCCATGCAATGACTCAGCTTTATTCCTCCATATCAACACATGTCCCCTCGATATTGGCAAGGGACAAGAATGTGGAAAATCACACACCAGCTCTTAAAGGTTTCCCTCCAGAAGTGACATATTTCACTTTTCATTGGCAAAACCAGTCACGTCGCATGATGGCTTTTAAATACATCTACAAATTCATGGACACTGCCACCTCCAAAAGGTGGAGTCTAATTTCCCTTCCCTTGCATGTGACTAGACTAGGCGTCTTGATGCTGACATGGGGAACATTGTAGAGGCTGTGCTGTGTGACTTTCGAGGCTAGGTGTCTTATCCCATTTGGGCTGCAAGAACAAGTCAGCCCAGGCTGGGAGCCTTCAAAACAACAGAAATTGATTGCCCACAGATCTGGAGGCTGGACATCTGAGATCTAAGGTGCCAACATGGTTGGATGAGGGCCCTCTTCCAGGTCACAGTCTTCTCACTGTGTCCTCACATGGCAGAAGTGGGAAGGGAGCTCCCTGGGGTCTCTTTCATAAGGGCACTAATCCCATTCATGAGGGTTCCCCCATCATGTCCTAAGCACCTGCCAAGGTTCTACCTCCAAAGACCACATTGAGGATTAGGTTTCAACATAGGAATTTTAAGGAGACATAACATTCGGTCTAGAGCAAATGATTGAGCGATATTTCTGAACTTAAAAAAAAATGGTAATGCAACATAAACTATAGGTATAATGATATCACTGGGGTCAATCTGACCTTAAGTCATTGAAGTATACCAGATCCAACTGCCCAAGAATGGTCCTGTCACTTTACATGTACATAGAAAGAAATATAAATTTCTCTACACACACACACACACACACACACACACACACACACGTAGCCTTACGTAATGTTTATACCTATATGTCATAGCTAGAAATGAAATTTCCTTTAAAATTTGCTTTTAACAAGTCCTTAATAATGAACACTGGCCTTGTTTATAGTTAACTGATAACCATTATATCACAATAGCAGGACATGATAGATAGGATACGAGCAGGAAACAACTTGATTCTTTTTCCCAGGGCCCATTCAAACCACATTTGTGGATTCAACCTTTATCTCCCCTGAAGTGAAAACTTTACTGAGGTTTTGGAACCCATACTTCTTTCACTCTTTTTTTTAAGGTGGTTAAAAGACGCATAACATTAAATTTACCATCTGAACCATTTTTAAGCGTACAGTTTGGTAATGTGAAGTATAGTCACATTATGTATGGTGAAACAGATCTCCAGAACTTTTTCATCTGAAAAAAAAAAAAAGGTCATTTCAAACTCTTTACCCATTAAACAAAAACTCCATTCTCCTCCTTTTCCCGGCCCCAGCTTCCCACCATGAACTACCACTTTACTCTCCGCTTCTATGAATTGGACTACCGTAGATACTTCTTCTAAGTAGAACCAAACAGCATTTGTCTTTTTGTGACTGGCTTATTTCACGTAGCACAATGACCTCAAGGTTCATTCATGTTGTAGCATGTGATGGCATTTCCTTTGTTTTGAAGGCTGAATGATATTCCAGTGTACGTATAGACAACATTTTGTTTATCTATTCATCCACCAATGGACATTTGGATTGCTCCCACCTTTTGGCTGTTGTGAATAGTGCCGTGAACATGGCTATGCAAATATCTCTTCTAGACCCTGCTTTCAAAAGTATGGGATCCAGTGGAATGACTAGACCATATGGTGGCTCTAGTTTTTATCTTTTGAGGAAACTTCAAACTGTTTTCTGTTGTGGTTGTGCCATTTAGCAACCTCACCAACAGCGCCCAAGAGTTCTGGTGTCTCTACACTCTTACTAACACTTGTTATTTTCTGTGTTTTCAATAGTAGCCATCCCAACGGGTGGGAGGTTTTATTTCATTGTGCTTTGAATTTACATTTTGTTTAGCCACTCTTAAACAATAAAAAGTCCTTTGGTCTGTTTCAGCTCCAAAGGACAATCTCATTTTAGCAAATATGGTAGGCAGAATAGCACCCCTAACACAAGAGATACCCTAATCCCCGGAACCTATGGATATGTTTTGTTACAAGGGAGAATTAAGGTTTCTGGTCACCTTCGCTGACGTCCCCAGACAGAGGCTGGGAGGACGTGAAAAGGGCAGGAGAGACCATCCTTACCAAAGGCAGATATGGAACGATGTTTGCGTCTTCTGGGTGAGGCAGTTTCCCAGTGATGATTCCTTCTCTTCAACAGCACTTTGCGGAATCCTCACCAAAGTCACTCCCTGGAGACCCTGGGAACCATTCTGGTCTCTGGCCAACTGCTTCTCATCCGATCTTCATCCTCTGTAGCCAGTGATACCTTCCAGCCTCTTTTTGCTGATGGCCTTGGTCCTTTGGCAAGAAGCCTTCAAAGATAAGTCTTTTACAACAACCCCAAGGCCAGATCCTTCCACAAGTCCTCTCGGCTCATAAGAACACTCTGGCATCCCATAGGGGCACCTGGGTGGCTTAACTGGTTAAGTGTCCAATTCCTGGTTTCGGCTCAGGTCATGATTTCACGGTCCGTGGGTTCAAGCCCCACATCAGGCTCTGTGCGATCAGTGAGAAGCCTGCTTTGGCTTCCCTCTCACTCCCTCTCTCTCTGCCCTTCTCCCACTTGCTCTCAAACAAACAAACAAAAAAACCAACCCGGGCATCCTTCCCCCCCCCCCCCCGTCAGGGGTAAATGTGCAGTTTTCTCTCCATCACATATGTACCTTTGCTTGGCCATCAACAGGGCAGTTCTAGCCATAGCCATTGACCTTCTCAGAGAAAAAAATGCTTAAAAATTCATTAATATAGCTGCTTATACCGTCTTGAACTTCTTCTAAACAATGGCCAGGATCCATTCAACATTTTCTTATCGTGAGTATTATGAACCACTTTTCTGTTCTTGCTTTTAGAGACTTTGCCCAAGTTCATTCTTAGTTAGCCAATATATGTACGAACCAGCAATAATTTCATGCATTAATAATACACTTGTAGTCATGGTAAATACAATGTTCATAAGAACTTAGGAATCAATCTTGAGATAATTCACATCTTATCCTTAAGTAAGTTATTTTCATAGAGCTATTTGCAAAGTGTGTGTTCTCTGAACATTTCCCCCAAACTGGTACCCTTTCTGACTTTAAATTCAATATCATTGCGCCATTTCCATAGAGGAAAGGGACACATTACCAGAACTCCCCATTAATTACAAGTGGCTTTAACTACCCCTTCCTCCCTCCCCTTCCCTTCCACATCTTACCCAAGTTTTAAGTTTCTCTAATGGGTGCAAAGGATTTTTGCATCATGAAAAAGATTACTGCTGATGTCATTTGACCTCAACTATCATTCCAAAAACCAGTTTAGACAACTTTACAATCCAAGACCAGGATATTGAGACCAAAATGACCTTACAAATTCTTAGTAATTAGTTCTTTGTAGATCACCTCTTAAGGAAAGCACAAGAAGCTAATAACAGTTGTTGACTCTTAGAAGAGAACAGGGGATCTGGAAAAAAAAAAGGGAGAAGAACTTACATTTCTCTAAGTGTCATTTTTAACCTTTTGAGTTTTGTACTATATATTCCCAACTCAATTTTTTTTAATTTTGAAAATAGTAATTTGCATTTGAAAGTATAAAGCTACTTTTGTAACAATGTTGTAAGTAAAAGCCACCTTTTTATATAAGAAAATAGTTTTAGGGGCACCTGGGTGACTTGGTTGGGCGTCTGACTTTGGCTCAAGGCATGATCTCACGGTTCCTGAGTTTGAGCCCCACGTCGGGCTCTGTGCGGACAGCTTGGAGCCCGGAGCCTGCTTCGGACTCTGTGTTCCCCTTTCTCTCCCCACCCCTGCTCGTGCTCTATGTCTCTCTCTCTCTCTCTCAAAAATAAACAGTAAACAAAATTAAAAAAAAAATAGGTTTAGAAGTTTTAAGATTAATAAGATTTCATTCATATTAAGATTAATAGATTTCATTATGGGGAATCTAAAAAACAAAATAAACAAACAAACAAAACAAACAGACTCTTAAATACAGAGAACAAACGTGGTTGCCAGAGGGAGGTGGGTCAGGGAATGGGTGAAACGGGTGAAGGGGATTAAAAGGTACAAACTTCCAGTTATAAAATAAGTAAGACACAGAAATGAAAAGGACAGCATAGAGAATATAGTCAATAATATTGTAATATTGCTTTATGATGACAGATGGTGACAACACTTAGCATGGTGAGCACTGGATAATGCGTAGGATTGTCAAACGAGTGTAGTGGACACCTAAAAACAATATAACATTGTATGTTTACTATACTTCAATAAAAAAAAATACCCCCAAAAAGAGGGAAAAAAAGAAAAGTTTTAAGAATAAATTTGTGTATATTAGATCTAGGACTTATAATTGAGCTAACTTTGGTAACTTTTTTGAGTTTTTATTGCACTCTCAGCTCCCAAATTGTTTAATATTTCAGCAAAAACAAAGAGACAGCTTGGGTTTCGTGGGGAGGGAGTTTATAAAAAGGGCATGTTTTACTGACCACATGATCACTTGTGAAGAGCCTGCCATCTACCAGGCACTGTGTTGGGTGCCAGGACACGAAGGTACTCAGCCATGGCAATCTCTGCTGCCCCGAAGACACTTGCATATTGCAGAAGAGGAGCTCAGGCTTTGAAATCCCAGAGTTGAGGACGGAAGAAGAGAGAAGGCAGACTGAACATCCAGAGAAGGAGGAGTTGGAGCCAAAATGCAGTCTAGACATGACACAGAAGCCACTAGAATCTGAAAACAGGGTGGGGGATCTCAGGATGGGAGAGGGTAGTCAAAGCAATGGATGAAAAAGAGGCTTTTTTCCAGAAGGCAGGTGTCCACACCCAAAGCAAAGTGGAGAACTAAGGCCCAGATTTCCCAAGCAATTGGTCTACCTCTCGACAGCAATAAAATCATCACCTTTGGCCAAGTCATATAAATGGCAAATCTGAAAGGGAAGTTCCTGACCTAAGCTCCTGCAAGCCTTTTCTAAGCCTCAGCTTTTCTCATTTGTAAATCAGGAATAATAATACCTACATACACCTGTTATGAGAATTTGACATTTAATTGACATTATATATATATATATTATTTAATATATATATTATTTAATATATATATATAATTTGACATTT